TAAAATATCGCAAAATTCACGTGATAAACCCGAATTATTAAAACCGGTTCCAACCTCTAGCCATAACTAGTTACGACATAAGCTTTAGCTAGTTATGGCATAAGCTGTAATAATTTTACTGCATCTTTATGCAAAAAAACTTTATCAATATTTAAAGTAACGATTAAAAAATTTATTTCATTGAATAAAAATTCAATTTTATCCAGAAATCAGTATCTGAAATTACATGCAAGCTAGCAAAGTACTACGTACGTACGTACGGCTACCATCTTTTCCGAGTGACGCTAGGGTTGTTGGGCACATCTGAAAAATTGTATATAGTTTATCATTATTAGGCCTGTCCGGGCTTTTTCAACAAGCCCGAGCCCGATCGTATTTTTCAAGCCTAGCCGAGCCCAGCCCGAATAATAAACGGGCTCAAAAATATGAGCTCGAACTAGGCCCGAACCGGTCCGCAACCTATGTGCCATATTATATTCGTTTTTGTAAAAGGATAATTCTGTATGCAAACATTTTGTTTTTATAACCACAATTCTACACAACGAAATTAAATATGACTCATATGACAGACTGGTTTAATTTTTGTACACTTAAAGACGTCAATAATAAAAAAGAACGCTACAGATTTGTAGCTTGCTTCTTTTTAAGATGCCGTGAACGAAGTCTATTTGTCACAAAATAATGATGGCGTCAAATAAATATCGGTTCTTACAGCATAACGATAAATGATAAGTATGATGTCATAGGGAAATAGCTACGGGATCGTGATACGTAGTAATTTACCTGTGGCACGTGATTTTTAATTTACAAAATTTTTTTCAGTAATCAATTTAAAAACTACCTGGCTTTAGACAACCTCTATTTAAGGAAGCCCTAATTTCTTCCCAATTTCTGATTGGATAAATGTGAATGCCATTTCCGATTGTGCAAGATATATTATATCATTCAACTACGTACGTACAATATCAGATGTAACATAAAAATTATGAAAAAACTCAGTTTTTCAAAAATACAATTTTGCTTATGAAACCGCCTTCGTATCTTAAAAAAATTCCTTGCAGAATTTTAGTAACCTTTAGTACTAACACAAATAATGTGCTTAATTTTTAATATGTTTTTTGTCGTTTTTTTTGATCGTGGTGTCAAATCAGAATTTCGAAAGTCTGATGTAATTTATTTCATCCGATCAGGGACAAGATTTCTAAGCGTCAAATAGGAAATTAGTAAATCCGCTATTTAAGTGTTGCTGAACAACTCGGGTACCGAAGAAGTTGATAGCTCGGCCGAACAGGTCAGGTATCAAAGAAAAAAGGAAAAATGTATGAACCAGCTGTTAAAATTTTTTATTAATTAAATTTAACAAGAAGTTTTTTATACGTATTACTGTATATAGAATTTTGATATTAGAAAAACCCATGAGCCGTAACTCTGGTCAAATTTACAGATCATTTGGAAGTAAAATAATTTCAAACCAGGCCAAATGATCTGCAAATTTGACCAGAGCTACGGCTCATGGGTTTTCTATTTATCTTTTATCAACCTATCAGAACATTTCATCTAGATTAATCATTCTCAGCCGTCTAAGTAAAAAACTTTAGATAACAATGACGACGGCTCGCCTCTCGAGTGTGCTTTTTCCACAATATAACACATTCTGGAGAGAAGCACAACAAAAATTTATTAGTTGGCGGCTTGGTTTAGCCGAAGTGCTTGAGCCTTTTTTATGGGCAGCTCCAAAAAAAAAGACTTCTCATTCAAAGAAACGAATGCGTTCGGCAAACAAAGGGTTGAAAGACAGAACAAACATTGTAAATTGTCCCTCCTGTGGCCAACGACGACTAACTCATCATTTATGCATTTATTGCTACAAGGATTATTTGTATAAGCGTATGATGCAAAGACGCAGTGATCTTGGCCAATAACTAAAGCTAATTTCCGGCTTACCGGTCCATTTTTTGTATCGGGCCATACTTTCTCATGTAAAATCAAAATATATCATTAGAGATATAAACGCATAAGCGATGTATTCAAGAATGGATTTAGATCTATGAGAGCGTACAATATTTTAATTAGCATTAAAATTTTTAATTAGCGCTATATACATAGATCGTAATACGGTGTTATTGAAAGAATCTGTAACACCCACTGGACATTAGGTTTTCCAATGTTTCCAATAAAAAAAAATAATTTCACGAGTCTCATGATTTATAACGCTTTAGACCCGTCTAAGATTTTAACAGTTCAAGATTTCGCCGATATCAAGATACCATTAACATTTGAGTCTCACCCTGATGAATATACATCTACTCAAATTACTCGCCACTAATTACAAGGTATTAAAAATAAGGTATACCTTGGTTTAATTAATAGACCAAATTGTATTGCTTTTTTATAGTGCGAAGATATCATTGAAAGGAGTTTAGGTCTTCGCTATGAACATGAAGTTCTAGACTCACTACATACTGATAACAACATAGTCATCATAAAAATTTTTTTAAAAAAAAATTCAATATCATCGAAAGTGTCGAATTATTATTATTTAAAATTTTAAGAATCACACTCGATGGGACGACCTTTCTAAAATACCAATAAGATGTAGAATTATTATTTTGATAATTTATCCACTGATTAAACTTAGGGATGTTAAATTGCGAATCCAGTCCGGTCCGATCCTAGGATCCAAAAGGACGGTCCTGGACTCGATCCTTAAA